GTAATTTGTCGCGACCTAAATCTTCACATATTCCAAGTTAGTTGTGCGACCGTCTCGCATAAATGTGAACTCTAATTAATAAAATAGGCAAGATGAAAAATTTAAATATTTTCTCTCCAAAATTGAACCCAAACCATAGGATAGCTTGGGAAGTCACCGAAGTTTTTCTCAGGATTCATGACACTCCTTAGTTCTTCTTCTATTAGATAAAAAAAATAAATGTTCCAAATTTGATTCATTCCCCCTTTCACACCTCTTTGTCCAATCTTTTGAAAAGTTCCATCCTTTGAAATCCTTGAAGACAATATCCCCTGATTTTTATCGAGAGTTTTCTTATGTGACTTTGGTTATCTATGATGTAAGTAAATATAAGCTCCTGCCTTTATAGGAAACTTTCAAGAACCCAGCTTAATATAAACCATATTTATTTTTTTGTATTAAATATGAGAACTTGTCGATCAACATAAAAATGTTTTTTTCGCATACTTAAATGGATTTCATAAATTCCTTAGTTTATTCAACCGAGCCATCACCAGTAAGCAGTGTGTCTACCCTTCAGGATAGCTACATTTCTTGTGTATTATACTCATTTATTTAAACTACTGAGGAAATGAGATCATTCTGATCTTACATTTTCAAAATTTAAAATACTACTTTTTCCCAAATTATATATATATTTTAAATCAAACCGAGCATTGGGATTTATATTCCGGCAAACGACAACTTCCAATTTGGTGACTTACAAGTCCTATATGCCCATAATGTAGAATCAAGTCTATCAGACCAATCAATTCTATTAGGATTTACAGGTTTTTTAAAAATTCTTTTAATTTCTCGATTTGATACTTCTGTTAAATCATATGTCTAAGAGTGATAAGCTGTGGAAATTTAATGTTTAATTCCATATTTCTCCAATAATGTGCTAATTATAAAATCTTTAAAGTGACTTCCCCCCATCAGTAATGATCACTCATGGCATTTCGAATCTTGCAAATATAAATTTTTAAAAATTTTGAAACACTCTGAGCATCACAATGCGGCAAAGCTACAGCTTCAATCCATTTAGACACTTAATCCATAACTAATAAGATATAATTTTTTCTTGAAGATGGTACAAATGGTCTCATAAAATCTAACCAAATATCAAAATTTTCAATTTCCAAAGTAAAATTTAGTGGCATTTCATCTCTTTTAGATATATTTCCTACTCTCTGACATTGATCACAAGCTTTCGCATATATATTAACATCCTTAAACAATGTAGCCCAGTAAAATCCAAAGTGTAAGATTTTAAATGCAGACTTATCCACTCCAAAGTGTCCCCCAAAATCAGATTTATGATATTTTGTATAATTTCCTGGGTTTCATTAATTGATATTTTTGTATAATTTTCTGGGTTTCATTATTTGGTACACATCATGGAATGACTGAGTGTCGACATTTTATATATAAATAATAGTCATACCAAAAGTAAAATCTTGTATCATAAATAAATTTCTTCTTATGGTGGCTTATTAGTCTGTTTGGTAAAATGATACTAACTAAGTAGTTAACTATATCTGTATACTGTGGTATATGCCACTCAGCAACAGCATAAAGTTGTTCAACAGGAAAATTTTCATTTATATCATCCTGATTATTTTTTTCCTGTTCAAGTCTTCACAAATGATCAGCAATTTGATTATTAGCAACTTTCATATCCACTATCTGAAAAATGAACTCTTGTAAAAGAACTCATTCGATTAATCTTGGTTTTGCATCCTTCTTTGACAAAAGCTACTTAATAGCGGAATGATCAGTATGCACAATGCATCTAGCTCCAATTAGATATGGTTTAAGTTTAATTATTGTCAATAACTCTTTTTCAAATGTTCTGTAATTAATTTGAGCTTCATTAAGAGTTTTGTTGGCTAATATATGACTTAAAAAATTTTATCATATTTTTGTCCTAATACAGTCACAATAGTGTAATCACTTGCATCACACATTAACTCAAATGGTTTTTCCCAGTCATGTGAAATAATGATAGGTGCAATGATTAATTTTTCCTTTTATAAATTGAAGTTGATTAAGCATTCATCATTAAAATCAAAATTCGTTTCTTCTTCTAAAAGATGGCATAGAGGCTTAGCAATTTTTAAAAAGTCTTTAATATACATTATGTAAAATCCAACATGTCTTAAAAAACTATTTACTGCTTTTAATGATGTAGGAGGTTGTAATTCAATCATAACTTGAATTTTTGCTGGATCAACTCCATGTCATTTTCAGAAATCTTATGTCCTAACACAATTCCTCATGTGACCACACATTGACATTGTTCCCAAATGGGAACTAAATTATTTTCTTCATAGCATTTTAGAATATTTGCTAAATGATGTAAACATGAAGCAAAAGAGGTTTCAAAAACTGAGAAATCATCTATAAAGAACTCAATTTATTTCTCAATTAAGTCATAAAAAATAAACATCATACACCTTTAGAAAGTTGTGGGAGCATTACATAAACCAAAAGACATTCTTCTAAAAGCAAAAGGCTCATAAGGAATTATAAATGTTGTATTTTCCTGATTCTTCAAAGCAATAACTATTTTGTGGTAACAATAATATCCATCCAAAGAGAAGTAATGAAGATGCCCGGCGATTCTATCCAACATTTGGTCCAACAAACGTAAGGAAAAGTGATCATTTCTAGTGACAGGGCTTAATTTTATATAATTAAGACAGATTTGTCATCCAGTTACTTGTCTTGTTGGAATTAATTTGTTTTATTTGCGATTTGTGTTGGTAGTTTTGGTGTATACATTTGTTGTGATAAATCCTTTATAAATAGGAGAAACATTTATTGAACACGGGTTCCTCCTTTTACTGTTCATTATTTAATATCATAAGTGCAAAATAGAAATCATTTCTCCCTCACCTCTTCTTCTCCCTCTCCTTCTTTCCATTTTTCCACTCTCCTCTAAAGCTCTATTCTTTGAGGGTGTTTCATAAAAATTTTTGGATTTAACGTTGTTATTACAATTATTTCTATTTTAATGGTCAATGATAGTTGTTGATTAATTGATCAATTTTTAGTTTTAATCGTATAAATATTCAAACAGGTGCCGCGTTCTACTTATGTGGCTGTTTTTTAATTTTTCCCCTGTTAAAAAAGTTCTATTTATGTGCCCATAATTAAAAAGTTATTTCTATCTTCCAGTCCGTTCATCATAATTGGGAACCAAAATAATTTTACAAGCATAGTAAAGTTCTTTAAATGTTTTAGATGCTTAAATTTATTGCGAGAGATTATGATTCTTATAGCTGTCGGTTTCTTCTCATAGCAAGAGATTAGTTAAATGTGCCATGTTGATGTCATCATTGTATAAATTAATCATCAACTGATCTGCAATAGTGACTCACTTGTCAAAACTTATATCCTAACCATAAATTTAACCATGACATAAATGACAGCTCTTTCTCAACCGTTGATCTTCTCAAGCCTTCAATGTAGTTCTAATTATTATTTAAAGTTGTATCCAGTACATTGTAACCTACTCATAAATTCATGTCTTCTTAATCTCTTTTCTCTCTTGCCCAACTCATGCATTGAAAACTTCACATCCACATAAATTTAAATCAATTCTATTGTCTCGTTTGGTTGATCGGAAATACAAATTTAATTTGATTTAGAATATCATGGTTTCGTTTCACACATTTTGAACAAATTTTCGTTGTGAATTATTAAATTATTATTTCTTTGGAGGAGTTTTGACAAAGATCGAAATAATTTAAAGCTAGTTTTGATGCCTGATTAAATTCATCCGACTGAATGAATGATAAAATTAACATCTTTATTCTTATTTTAATTGAAATTATTCAGCGTTTGGATCTGACTGGCTCATAAGTGAAAGAGAGACATTTTAATGAGTTGTCTCCTTCCATCAAAGTGATAAGCTAATATAATAATAGCATTGAAAGCTTCCAAGTATCTAAGCAAAATTTTATTCCCGTGGAAAGATTAGGGGAAAACCAAGCAAAATATTCAAATAAGAATAAGGGCCACGGGATCAATGGGAACTAGAAGGGCAGGAGGAGAAAACAGAGATGGGCGAGGAGTTAGGAAATTAGGAATCTTAGATGTGGTTGTGCGAGAGATGCGGCGGCTCTTTTGCCTGCTTGCTCTCTTCTCTTTCTACCCATCCAAATTCTCTCCATTCTCTTTTATATTTCTTTTTGTCTCGTGCCAGCAAACGATTTCCTTAAAAAAAAAAAGAAAAATAAAAAAGAAAGAAAAAAAGGAAAAAAACGCCGCGCTTGTGCCGACAAAATGCTGCTTATTCCTGTATTACATCTACGCTCTGATTGCCTCCGAAAAAAATTGAACGGTCTTGATCATGACAGATACCCCCGACTAGTTAACACTAATTGTATGGTGAACCTCACTTCACATCAATATAAATTTAGGAATTTGGAACTGAGAGAAGAGTATAATAAAAAATTCTTTTTCAAACATCAATAGAGGAAGTTTTATTATAATTTATTACTCGTGTAGCTCATATTATACCATCTTGGATGCAACAACGATAAATTCCTCTAGGTATAATGCCGATTATATGTCGCCAATTTTCTTCGTTCCTCGCTATAAATCTATAACTAGCTTAGGCCCATATTACTTAATCTTGTATTTGAGTACTGCCCCTGGGCTAATCAAATAAAATAATAGAATAGTTTATATTCTTAAAAAGAAATCTGCTCTGCATTAGCAAGCGGATTTAGTAGTTCTCATAACTCTTCTACTTAAAACTTTCTTCCTCTAATAATATAATTTAAAGTTTACTGTTTTCAAAGCCTATAAATCTCGTTAAGGCGGTGAAATATGGAGTATCACAATACCTCCGGGGCATGAAGGCATCATATTAAAGTTTCCCTTTATATAGTTGCAAACCTTCCATACAAAACGAAAAGTGTATCTCTTGTACCTCTCTTGTTCTCTCTTCATCCTTCTAGTCTTCTCTAATGGCAGTTGCCAAAGGGCACGGGCTTGATTTTTCGTACCTTGAGCAGTTAGGCTTCAAATGTCAGCGTGACTTTATGCCTGAGGATGAAGGGTGCGCAAAGAATCATCCTTCAGCTCTCCCAGCTCTCTCCGATCAAAGCAACATGTGTACCAACAGCCCTCTCATGCTCTTAGAAGAAATCTCTTCATCACAAGAAGCTCAGACTGCTTTCAACTTCAAGGCTGGTGAGGAGCATTGGATGCATTCAAACTCTACTGTTCTTAGCTTTGAACAAAAGTTTGGCTATGGGGAGAATTGTATTAATTGGATTGAACCTAATAATCATGACTATCAAATGAACCACTACCTGAACAAGAGGAGTGGAAGTGATTCAAGTGAAATACAGGCAGCTGATTATGGTTTAATGGACAATCAACAGTGCCAAAACCGATTCAAGATTTTCTATTCGAGCATAAGTTCTGGGGAAGACTTTGAAAGCGTCGGCAGGCAGCAGCACGGCCTGCAAAAGCGACAATTTTTGGTAAATTTATACCCTTCGCGAATCCACATTTGCTTTTATGTTATATTGTAGGGTTTTTTTGCAGTCGTTTTCAGAGAGGAACCGCTCATTTATTATTTCTTTTTTTGGAAAACAAAAATTCCAGTGTTTGGGCTCATGGTTTAATGATTGCAAGTTCCTAGTTTAAGGCTCATTTTGATGCTCTAGGGTAGAATAAATTTTATGTATAACTTGCCAGAACTTGTGATTTTGGTTGGATGAAGCTACTCGGAAACTACAAAAACGCTTCATGTTTTTTCTTTACAAATCAACGGTTTAGTGTACTTTGGTTGGTTTTATGTTCCAATGCATTCTTTCAGGAGACGAATAGCTCCGACGTGAAAATTTGAACGAATATTTTTGAATCATGCATGGATCTAGCCTTTGAACTTCCAAAAGCCTATATATATATATATTCATTTTTTATATTTTTTTATTTTATAAAAAAAAAATCGATATCATTCCTGTCTGAGGCCACACGACGAAATGATTGCAAATTCCTAGTATAAGGCTCATTTGGTTGTTTGAAGCTATAAAAATGTTAAGTGTTGCTAGTACTTGTGATTTGGTTGGATGCAGTTACTTGAAAACTGCTGTAAACCTCTTGAATATAATAAATCATTCTTTTCTAAAATTTAATTTTTATTTCAACTAAGCTCACCAGATTTGATCATATTTTTTAAGGAAAGTGACATGCAAGGTTCAAAAAAGCATTGTGCCAATAACAAGAAGCAATCCAAGGCTAAGATTATTGCTACATCAAAAGACCCACAAAGTATTGCAGCAAAGGTTTGTGGTTTAACTCGCTTCTCTAGGAAATAGCTAGATTGTTCCATTAATATTGGTTTATATTAAATGCTGCCTAAATTATTATTTCATTTCATAGATTCGAAGGGAGAGGATCAGTGAACGGCTCAAAATATTGCAAGACCTTGTTCCAAATGGCTCAAAGGTGAGATTCTCTTTCCACCTCTATTTGGATAGTCCTACTTCATCCACAGTACTGCTTGCACTCATGCATGAATCTTGGTTTTAGTAGTTTTTATTATTATTTTTTTTTTCTTTCAGTAGATGTTTCGCCACCCCCAATTAGGTTTATGATATACATGCATCTTGTTCTCATATTCCAAGCACTATTTATAATTAACTAGATGTCATTTATGTTACACAGATAATAGAACACATTTTATGCCCGAAAAAAATCAACATATTCTCAACACAACCTCCATGATATTAGTTCAAGAAAAGTACTGTGTTCAAGAGCCTAAATTGTATATTTGTATTCACGAATGAAGTTGAATGTGTTTAATAGATATCAATAAAGCATTTTTCTCTCTCACTGCCTACCTCTGATCTCTATGTATATATGTGCAAAAACAGCCATATAAGGACACATACATATATGGATACACTTTTACAAAGAAGCATATGCATCTCAATATTATTTAGAACCTTCTCATTTTGATATAGACTTGCCTCATTGCAGGTTCTTACCACATTAGGACTATCACATTTTTCAGCTTCTATTTTAACACCAATGCGAGCTCTATAATAGCCAACGAGCAATCAAAATTTTATGATAAGTTTATCAAATTTAGATTCATTTTCTTTAATGTTATTTCAGGTTGACTTGGTTACCATGCTAGAGAAAGCCATTAGCTATGTAAAATTCCTTCAATTGCAGGTTAAGGTAACACATCAAATTTGCTTGATTTTTTTCTTATAATGTAGATCATTGGAAGTAAGTATAATTCACGTTAGATTTTTCATGTAGGTGTTGGCAACAGATGAGTTCTGGCCAGCCCAGGGAGGGAAGGCACCTGAAGTTTCTCATGTGAAAGAGGCCATTGATGCTATCTTATCTTCTCATCAACAGAGGAACTCTAATTGCAAATTTTGAGCATTTCATGACTTTTTTTTTAAAGTAACCGCTAGAATGAGAAGTTGGGGCTCCCATACCCAAAATAGATCCCAAGAGAAGTGAAGAAAAGAAAGATAGGATTGAAAAACAGTTTTTGTAATTTTGTTTCTATTCATGCTAGGATAGAGTGCAAGATTACGATAAATAATGTAACCTTTGGTTTTGTATGTTAATTCAAGCTTTATAGTCATACGATCTACACTGAAGTCGAATAATCAATATATTAAACATTTTTGTTATCAATATTTTTGTTTCTTCGTTTCTAATTAATAATTTCTTTCTTTTAAATTTCTAAAGAAATTATCATTCGCTTAAGAATATGTATGTTGGATACATGATGAAATTATTTTTTTATACACAACAACAAAATAATCAAAAATTTATTTAATTAAATCAATACAAAGTAGGCTATAAACGGAATGAAAAACATGATATTTTGCTCAAGAAAATTTGAACGAGCTTTTGGTATGTTTGATGAAGCAAATTAGTGTTATGTTTTGTTAAATTAGACAAACAATTTTAGAATGAGTACAAATGAACTAGAGATTTTATAATGATTGGACTATTTTTCACATTTTCTTGAAGAATACAACCACAAGAGAAAAAAAGTTGTGATTATTAGTTTTCAGTCAAGTTCATCGAATAGAATTCAATCACTCGGAATGCACCCTCTTATCACCCACGACTATTGTAGTAATTCATCATGTTTGCTTGAAATGTAGGAGAGAGATTTTATTAGTTTTGTAGCCCAAATGTTTATGCTTACTGAATTTGATCAGCATGCACTACAATAGAATGCTCGAGTATTTGGTCATGTTTATTAAGTTTTCATTGTTAATATTGGCTTGTAACTCCAAGAGAGAGCTAACCAATAACAATATTTTAGGGCATTCTTATAATTCTTGAGTGTTCATCTATGAGTTTTAGTGTATATCAATAGTGTTAGGATTATTCAATAGTTATTTCATCATATCGAACCTTAGGCTATGTATTCTACTAGCTTATTAAGCATTCTCTCAGATTAATTCTGTTACTAGCCAAATCACAGTGATAATTACCATATTCAATTGGTTTACTATAAATCTTTGCAACTTTTAAATGAGCTCAATATGGAGAATTAAGCTTAAAGTTTGTAATTAAATACTTACAAAGATTAGCTTAGTATATATGTGGTTGGTTGCTTAAACCTTTGATTCAACTCACTATTTACTTTATATACAGGATGAGCACAAACCCAATTGAATTATGTCCTTTATAGTTTTCCAAATAACATGTTATGAATGTTACATAAATTAATACATATCTAAATCATGGTATACATTTTCACTAAGTTTAGTGAAAGATCTTCGAAACTCTTAAATGAGCTCATTATGGAGAATTAAAATGCTTAAATTTTGTAATTAAATATTAATAGAAGTTTAGCTTAGTATATTTATGCTTGGATGCTTAAACATTTGATTCAGTGTGCTCTTAACTTTATTAATTTAAAAGAGAATGAGTACAAACTCAAATAAATTATTAATCCCTTGCAGTCATCCAAAATAAATGTTTTTATTGTTATAAAAATTATTACATGGTTTCAAATAATTTATTTAACTTGTCTCCTTACTTCATAACCCATTATTTCTTAAGCGACCAAAATTTATACATTTCTATGAAAAGTGCTTATTTTTCAGCAAACTCTTTAAATCCTAAATGTTCTAACAATTCCCCTAAATTTACTATTAACTCCTTATATGTTAATTAGGTAATTCTAATTAGAATTTTGTTTCTAAAATAAATTTTATCTTAATTACTTTATTAGTGTTTTTTAGTAATTAGCATGCAATTTAAAAAATGAAATGAAATGTTTTTATTAAATAACTTTTAAGTGTATACACACACGCGCGTGCACACACCCGCAACACCACCCACCCCCCCCCCCCCCCCCCCCCCCCCTTCACACACACACATACAAACTATTGAATTTTAAATTATCCGGGGGACACCCACGAAATAGAGTGTAAGTAGGAGAGAGAGAGATAAGGAGAGAGAAATAGGAAGGGAGTGCACAGTAATTTACTGTGACAATGATTTTTGGCTGACCTTTATTGTAGGAATGACCCTTTTTTTTATAAACATGAGGGGTACAAAATGTAAAATTAAATACCTTTCCTACTTTCATGGAAGACATTGTGGGATATATTAGGTATTTTTGCATAACTAGCTTTATGATCCGGCTGCCCAGTCGCTTAATCATACTTTATTAAAGGACCTTGGTTCCACAAGGTTCTTCTGCCTAACCATGCTGAGTAGGGGTTACTTATAGATTTGAAGATTGCCTCAAATTATTTGAACTTTGGCTCCATCAACTTGAATCTACCGGTCAGCTCTTGATCACCTTTGTTCGTCCGAGCTATATTCGGTTGGCTTGGCTCTAATGGCTGGATGTTCTGATTTTGTCATTAATTTCTTATCCCTAGATGGTGGACTCCTGTTATCACTTGAGACTAGGTTGTCGAGCTGAGGGTGATTCACTGTAATTAAATTGGTAGCTTATTTCTTTGGAAAAATATCCCTTGGTGGCATTGTAGAAGCTGTCAAAGTAAATCCTTTGACACCCTGATGAAGAGCCTTAGTGACTCTTATGGGGGCCGACAATACTAAGGCAGGGGAATGGCTGGAGCCTTGTCCCACTAGAAAGGCCTGGTCGATTGGTTCAGACAGTCTACAATCACTCGACTTTTGGTTCAGATCAACCGGACCTTTTGCTTAGCCATTGATGTCATTTGGTACTACGTTGAAGGGTCTCCTAGTTTTGCACAAATGGGCCCTCTTGACTTTATCTTCTTGTTTCTTAGTTCATTTGATTTTATTGAGATTTATGCTAACAAATTTCTGATTTATACATACATATACATATATACAATTCTAACTTTTTATGCTGCTCTATTAACTTGAGGGTAGTTTTTGGTCATGGCTTAGAAAAACGATGTTAAATATTTATTTGCTTGATGATGAAGATGCTGGTAATGGCAGTAATGGAGACTATTGTTAATTACTTTTATGTTTGCTGATCAAAAGTTTTCCTTTTTAATGATAAGCTTTCTAATACTATTGCATATGAGGTTGGTAACACTATTACTTTCTCAATCTTAACATACGAAAAATATTTAAGTTTTGATTCTAAGATATTATTTCAAAATTCAATAAAATACAATTTTGTTCTATTTGCTTTATGTATGTGTTGTAGGTTTAGAAAAAAAATATCAACATACATTCCTTGTCTAATTATTAAGTCTTTACGACGATTGCAAAACATTACTTGGAGCTCTAGTTTTTAGTAGGTGTTGGAGCTATATTTTTTCTCTTAATTGTGACAGTTAGGTACCATAATTTTTATTAGTGACTGCAAAAAATTTGTCACCACATATTTAATTAGCAGCCACTCACCAGCTTACTAGGTGATCGCAAATTTGTGCAAGGGAGTTTGGCAATGGTGAGTGAATAATTTAATTTGTTATTAATAAATTTTCTTTGTTGAATTTAAGGAATGAAAGCAGATCAGACAGAAATTTAACAAAATAATCCCAAAAATCAAACTATGCAACCCGCGACTTTTCTCCATAAGTAATTTTAATTAAATAAACTATCTGTTTGACTTCTTAATAAAGCCATGTGGCAGCGATTATGGCATTGTTCAACAAGACTGTGCGTAAAAAAATCTGTAAATCCAATTTACTTCACTAAACCCTTGTGTCACAAAAATTTTAAATAATCATATTATCCAACAGAATTATGATACACGTACACCAAAATACAAAAATACGACTAAATTAATAGCATCTAAGTGATAATTGAATAAAGAAGACATTCGAAGATAGATGATGAATTAAACTACCGTAAGAATGCCTTAGCCTTGGCATTCTTCACGTGTTCCCAAACATTTTTTTTTCAAAAATTTGATTTCAAAAGCTGGCACCAGAACGTATTTTCATGTCCGATCACTGATATCGATCCATAATAGTTATACTGATCACATTTACCTCAAGATAGATGAAGTGGTAATGTTATTTTCTGTGATTCACAACCATGATTATTAAGAAGCTAACTCGTATAGACTCTTTTAGAGTAGCACATCCCAAAATGATGCAATTACCACATTAACAAAAAGATGGGTAAGTTTATCGCAAGAAAATTTAGTTGCATTTTATCTTAGGATGGACATACGATCTTGTGTCAATTATTACTTTTTCCAATAAGAAGACTATTACACAGTACATTTAAATTTAAAACAGCAGTTGTCGTTTAAATTATATTGTGCTGCTTTAGTAATTTAATATTATTGTGTAATGCATAAATTAAACACTACGTAGAATAAAATTAGCCATATGGTGATATATAACATGTCACGATATCCTTAATTTCAAATCATTCAAACTTTTCGTAGCCACTATGAAGACAAAAATAAAAAGATGAACACGGACACTTATCAAAGCCCTGTAAAAAACTGAACACGAAGACAAAATAAGTGAATTAAAAAACGAGAAAGTGTGTTAAAGATATGGAGTTCAAATGCAAGTCTAAACCTAACGTAACCATTTCTTTGAAAAATTAAAACAACAAAAAAGGTGTTAAAAAAAATCCCAAAATACTTCTGCATAATTCCACTGCTAAATTTATCTCTTGTCAATTCAACGAACATTGACGACTCATTTGAATTTTTAATTTTTTATTGTCGTCCAGGTATTGCTAAATTTAAAATATCCTAAAGAAATAAAACTAGTATTTTTATGTTAATAATATAGTCAGATGCAGACATGCAAATGAGCAGCATATAACACCCACTCCCCCAAAACCATAGTTTTCCTAAAGAATAATAATCTTTCATTGCATATATATATATTTTGGTTGTCAGATATCTCAAATGCATTCCTACATAGCAAAAGAAATTAGTGGCGAAATATTTTTGGAGTTCAAGAAAAAGAATTAGACAAAAA